GCATACTGTGAACTTGCAGAGCGGGGGTTTGTGTGACGGTTCAATGGAAGTTGAAATTGAAAAGGCTTCGATATGAGGTTGGTAAGCTTGACACTCAATTCGTGCGACTGCAGGACTACGGGCATTTGCTGCAGGGATCTGCCAATGACCAGTGGAGTGGCTGCAAGTCCATCTCTCTCGCTTTCTCTATCTCTCTGCACAGCGGGCGAGACTTGTAAGTCTGTGTTACAGGTGGATTGTGCGCGTTCAACAGGGAGCGCTATTTGTAGCTTTAGAGAAGAAAGGAAGCAGTCTGGTTCTGAGAACGAGTCAGATGGCTTGTCAGTAAGACCTTGCCCAGTGATGTCATCCAGCCCAGACCCAGGATCCTGTCGTTGCACTACAGTTTCCACTGAATTTTGTTGATCAGCCAAACAATTGATATGTCACAGTTTTGCGGAGAGTGTCGCGCATGATCTCCGGTTTCCTTTTCCACCTGCGTCGCAGAAAGGCATCACCCAGGCAGGGACGACCCTGCAGCCTGACTGTGGCCAGCCGAGGAAGCACCTTGAGGGCCAGGCGATCCGGGGCATGCTCGGCGGGCCTGGCGAGTCCTCCCACTGCCTCTGTTCATGGCCTGTTGTAATACTGCCACCAGGCCCTGGCCGTCAGGAGGCCGCATTTACGCTTCTATACCGCAGAAGAGTCGTACAGGGTGTTCGTGACCTTCAGGTCCAGTTGCCAGCAAAGGAGGAGCCAGAGCGTGAGAAGGTGCTGCACGAAAGTTCGGCGCGATGCTGGACCAGTTCATGTAACACATCTGTCCCTTCGATCGAGGTTCCAGCGATGTTACGCAGCAGGAATGTGGCGGGCGAGGCGTGTTAACACAGCGCCCGCCCCCGAGCACATCGAATGCTGGGAATTCTCTGTGCAGGGCCTCTTCGAGGGCTGGTGAAGCTTGTGATGCCGCCCTTTTGTGTTCCTCGTCCGTTTCCTTTGCGCGAAGCGCACCGGAGTCGGAACAAATCTTGGGTCTTCTTTGATCGCACTGGGAATGTTTGGGAGCATGATTGAGAGCCTTGTCAGCACCAAGAAGATAGCGAGAGAAAGTGGTCCTCTCGCCTCTGCGCACCATCGACAGCCGTGTTCCAAAGAGGCGCCTGTTGCCGCAGGCAGTATCTCCCCGCACGCCGGTGTCTCCGAATCGAAGCCCGGGCGGGCAGCTACCACCTTTGGGCGCCATAGGTGCAGGCTGGCGCCATTTTGCAAGAGTCTGCTCGTGTTCCATGTGGCAGCCTGTCAGACTTCCAGGTGCTGGACGAACGACCCCTGGAGTACCCCCAGCCGAGACAGATGCTGGGGCTTCAAGGCCATTTTGATGCGGACCACCCGGGTCCTGGGCAGTGGCCTGTGCTGGGCACCTGTGCAGAAGTGCTAGGCGCGTGGACTCCGGTGAACAAGCCAGCCGGAGTCTCAAGTGAGGGTCATGACTAGAAGCCTTGGAGACCCGTGCTCGTTGAGGCGGGCTCTCCGACCGTGCAGCACTTGGGGCCACCGAAGACTGTGCTCAGGGAAGAGCGTCGTTGAAATGCGGTGAGGACCCACAACTCCAAGGGCGACAGGGCCCACGGCAATTGCCGAGGCACGGCTGGCCGAGAAGCTTCGTCGGCTGTCTGCCAACTGTGAAGAGGATGCGCTTGGGCTGGAAAGTCGTGAACCTTCCAGCCGCGGGTCCGTGGGCAGTCCGAGCGCCCTTTGGAAGGTGCCGCCAGTGAGCCCTGCTCGGCTGCATGACACATCATGGACCTGTATAGACCGTCATACACGCACAGACTGTGGCGTGTCGAGGGCCAGGGCCTCCGCAGCCATTTCGGCCTGCAGCGCGCGGGCATTTTCACCGTGAGCCTGGTGGGCTCAGTATGTGCCGGGCCTGCAAGCAGAAAGAGCAGAAGGAAGCAATGTCCGGTTATGTCGACGGTTCTGTGACCTTCATCTTATTGCAAGACTCACCTCGAACAACCCCTGAACTGGTGCCTGTCAGTGTCTTCAAACAGAAGATGCTCCTTACAGCAGCATTGCATCCAACAGTTCCGCCCATTACAAAGAACAGTTTCAGATGCTTGCCTTTCCATCGCCGGGTGTGCAAAGTGAGTCTGATGGCGTAGATAATCGTCATGGAAATCACTTACAACACCCGCCGTTTCTTAGACTTTGGATGGTGTGGGGTCGAGACTTCAAAACAGTACTGGCAGCTACAGTACTCACTTTTCCGCATCGTGCAACAAGGTACGGGTATCCGCCGAGTTATCCGGCAGGCAGGGCGCTCGGACAACTTGCGTTGGTTTGACCGCAGCACTCTACTCCAACTTTGCCAGGGTTGCTATGCTTGCTTTTGTCTGACGAAACTCCTTTGGCTGTAACGCAGCGTTGCAGAAGTGCATGCGCAAATTAGCAGCAGGGAGGCCGATGTTCCATAGCCGTTCAGGCCAAAGCAGCTTTGCAGGTTTTTGTTTGCGATCCCCTCCACTTCGCTTGCTAACTCACTTATCGTGCTGGCCGGTCTGGCAGACTTTCCGGAGCAAGCATTGCAGGGCTGCAGGATAGAAATCCGAGGCTACCCGCCAGCAGGCTACGCCTATGCACAGCCGCCGGAGCCCTGTTCAAGATGCAATAAGACGAGACGTCACTCGCAATTTCCCTCGCCCTCAGGCCGGGCTACTCTGCAGGGTACGCTCCGGCGACGGCCCAGACGCCACCCACGGTCCTTCGCTCAGAGTCCTCACGTTTTCCCGGAACTGAATACACCTGGAGAGGCAACCTACCCGGGATATGGCTATGGTGGTGTGCCTGCAAGCCAGGCAACAGCTTCACCGAGCGCTTATGGTACCATCCCGCATCTTGCTAATTCGCCGGGGGGTTCGGTCTAGCGACACAAGTCCTTCCAGAGCCAAGCTTCTTAAATCCTGTGCCCGAGAAGGAGCTCCCCAAACCTGGTATCGGCGCGAGATGATAGGAGTGGCTTCTTAAACCCTCAACCCAAACACCACCATACCAGATAGCTTCGCAGTCGCAATAGGATTGTCGAAACCTTTGTGCTGTGATTGACTTGTCAGCATAGTTCTCAAATTATGCCAGCGTAGATCCCCACACAGCGATAGAGCAAGACGACCCTGACGGGTGCAACCACAACGATCAGCCACGAGCACCAGACGACATCAGACGACCCCGACCAGGAGCAGGCCGTCACGACCACCAAGAAACTCCAGCAGACCGTCTAGGGACCCCACCCGGCATGCTTTCCCAAAAGTACTGGCGCTTATGATTCCGGCTCTCCCGAGCGGTGCCCAGCGGAAGGACGTATGCACAAACCCTGCGCCGCACCACAGCGGGAGCCGCGCCCCAGGAATTATTGTTTGCCGCGAGTGTCTCGCGCCCAATTCTCTTCACCCTGAACGTTAGAAGCCCACAGTGTGCGCCACACTGTTTGGGAAATCAAATTGAAACAAGGGTTTCCTTCACAAAGAGGTTGAGGGATGTCGAGGGTCCATGTAGAAGATCCAAGCCTGCGCAGGCCGGATACACACCGTCCACTTCCTCGGGCAGGCGGCCAAATAGAAATTTCGAGTGTATCTTATCGTTTGTTTCTTTTCGGGTGGTAAGGGTGTAGGGCATTTGGGGCACATTGTATGGTCGGCCACGACCGGAAGCGTGCTTTGGCCTGGCGGTGGCAGACATGCCCAGCCCCACAACAATAGATCCGTCATCGGCGACTCAGCTTCAAGAACAGCAGAGTTCAAGAATGAACGCATGAGCAGTACCTGAACCAAAGCGTTGCCCTCGAGGCCAGAGAGGCTGATAGTCTCCGGCTGCAAGCACGACACTGTCGGTGGAATTGTTGCCTGCTCAGAACCCGCCGATCTTATCACCGCTGAATGTGCTGCCTGTCCGGCAGCTGCATAGACCTCGACGTTCTTTTATATAGGTTATGGAGTTAAAGACGGCATGTCAGGACAGCTGTCTACCTTGTAGTCCATATCGTGTTGAAGCGCCTTCTTTGCTTGCCTGGGCGCCATTTTTGGTAATTGCTGGCACCAAGGTCAGGGGTGAATTCAACCTCCAAAGTGACAACCACGGAAAGCCAGTCTACAAAAAGAACGGACAGGCCGTGGGGTCTGGGGCCGGCAGCAGGGAACACCAGATGGAAGCCCGAAGGTCAACGGCCTGGACGTGATGTTATACTTCTGGCAGTGGACTGAGCTCCGCTTCCAAGCTGCTGCCTTTCTCACTTTCACGTGCCCAGGGACGACCGAGACGGTCCGGACTTCTGTGGCTGGTGGTTTGGCCCGAAGGTGCCGGCTTTTCTGCTCTTGCTCGCGGCTTCTCGTCGAGCACTTCGCAGCGGGCAGGTTGGTGGAGATCAGGTTTGGGCTTACCACTCAGAAAAGGCACCGACACCACCACTGAGCGGATGGAAGGCACAGCCCACGCCAAGTTGCAGACTACCAGGGTCACAACTCCTGCGAGAGGTGCCTTATGACGGCCCCGTCGACAATACTTTTATCCTGCAGCCTGCATCAGGCCACAGCAATACTTGTCAGATGTCGCAGTGGAAGTGTGGGGGTCTGAGGCTATCCCAAGCAACAGCCTCCAGGGTGGCTTGGCGTGCACACATCTCACTTTCTGTATCACCTGAACCCAAACGCTCCTCGTTGCAGGTACCCTCCGCCGTATGGGCAACCGGCACCAGACTGAAAGTGACTGAATGTTGCTCTCTCGTGCAGTTGACTTTGTCGATGGGGTGCATCCAACTCTCAGGCACCTGGCATGCCCCAGCAGCATGCTCAGCAGAATAATCCGACTGTGCACGGGCACTCATTTCACAGATCGAGTTTGGGCTTCCCTATCCGAGGCCAGTGGCTTATGGCTATGGTGCGCCACCTGTCCGGGGCTATGGAGCCCAGCACCGGTGGTGAACACTTCCAAAGAAGATGCCACCAAGGCCTACGGAGTCCCTCCGGCATATGGGTCGTGGCCTCAGTGAATACGAGCCGCATGACGGAGACCGTGAGTATGCTCTACAGGTATGGTGGTCCCCCAGGCTACGAGGATCTGGGAAACGATGTAAGCTTGCAAGTGCCCACAGCTGGCTGAGCTTCCATGCTTTATGGTCTGAGTTGCAGGATAGAGCGCCCGAGAGGGCAAGACGGGAAGATCGTCGTAGAGACGAGGCCGCCCGGAATCGTCACAAAGAGAAGCGGCACTGCTCAAGAAGTGAAGCCTGCAGGGTTTCTTGCGTTCGTTTGGCAACTACCAGGATGACAGGAGGAAGAAAGACGAGGACTTCGGTCGTGTAGCGACACTGGCAGAACTGTCGTGCAATGTGCCATTTGCCGAGTCGTTGGGGCTTTGCTCTCACGCGAACATAGGATGGGAAAGAGCGGCAGCGTTCCCACCTCAAGAGATCTCCACCGGGTTTTGGCTGGCTGCATGCTGATGGATAATCCGGGTTTTTGTGTTTTCAACCCAGGCAATGCCGAAGAAGGGCGGAAGTCTGCAGCCAAAAGAAAGGAGGAGGTCGGACTACCCGTCGACTTCCCGTCAGGTGTTTCGTCAGTTCTGGCTGGAAAGTGAGATCAACGCGAGGATGCTGCACGGAAGAAAGAGCTTGAGCAGAAGCAGAAGGAGGAGGCTTCGGCATTAGAGCTTCTCGAGCCCTGCACCGGCGATTCGCATTCGGAGGCAGCCAAGCAGAAAAAGGATTTAGAGGAAAAGAGACGGCAGGAGCAAAGGTCGACTCTCGCCATAAGAAGGCCCATGTGCAGAGTCCAGAAGCTTTTCGCCAAGCCTTGCACTGCCAGGGTCATCCAAAAGGTCAGGCTAGCTTCACCTGAGACCTTCGAAGAGGTTCAAAAAGAGCTTCAGGCTCCGCTGCTCCGCTCCGTTGAGTCTCCGAGTGTGTCCTCGACTGCTCTTCAGCGGCAAGATTTGAGGAGATTCTCAGAGTTGAGCTGGAGAACACTGGCAGCCAAAAAGAGCGCATAAAAGAGGCGGGTCGACGAGCCTTTCTGCTTCACGGCTCCAGTAGGCATAGCACTCGAAGGAAAGTGAGAAGGGGCTGGAACAAGCAATGAAAAGACTTGATAGCATCAGAGAGCAGCGGCAGAAGGAGTTAGCCACAGCCTCGGCTTCTCTTTCCGCGGGTTACCCTATGCCGACGGTTCTGTTTCTGTGAGGATAAGAAGGAGGCGGAGGACAAGAAGCGACAGGAGCAGCAAGCCAAAACAGATGAGCTCCTCAAGGACCGCCCCTTCGTGACGTCGGACAAGCCAAAGTCAACATGCGGTTAGCACAGGAGCTCAGCGAGCTGGTGGAAGCAGCTGAGATAGGTGTGGCCCGACTGAAGGACGGCTGCAGCTCGGAACACAACACAGCAGCTGGGTAGTTCCTGGGTGCTGAGGTTCGGCTCCCTGACTTAGTGTTCCAGCTACTTGAGCTGATGGCCTTTTATGGGTGAGAGAAGGTCTATACAGCACAGATCGACAACAGGGGCGTGCGTGTATGCTTGTGCATACAGGCCTGTTGTGGAAGGAAATACGGACTTTGGCCCCAGGGCGTGTTCCTCGCATCTTTGTCTTCTCCATGAGTTTTAGTTTGTTTTTTTCCCGAGCCTCCATGTCCATGCCGGCTTCGACGCAGGGAATCTTCTGGCATGACTGCTGCCGACACAGAAGCTGACAGAAGCTCACTGACCGGCGGAATGCGAGTCTATGGCGCGACTGATGCTTTAGAACAAGCGATCCGCCTTCCGACGGATATGAAGCACACACGGCAACGCAGTTTCCAATGACCCAGCGACAGTCTCGACGAATGCGGTTAGTGGAATTGTCAGGAGGGACCTGACGGTTGTATTGGCACAAATTGGCGGAATTCCCAACAATAACAACACCGATCTTCCCCCATGGTGGTATTTTGGTGTATTGCGGATGATTCCATCATAGCAGCAGCATTCTCTACATAAACATAGTGGCCGCTTCCCGTTGTTTTGTTGAACTCCAGAATCTTTGAGCTTGGCCGGGCTGGATCGGCAGGAGTTGGCTGCGCCGCTGTCCGAGAAGATCAAAGACAGCGTTTGCCCGCCCAAATTGCAGCATGTGTATTGACCACAGATGTTGTCTTTCTGCGTAGCACCATGTTAATGCACGCGTGCAACAGTCGTGCCCCACGCTTTTTTCTCACGAATTACATAGGACAACCTGAGTGCTGTTCTATGAACGCCGACACTGCCAAAAGCCAGGTCCCAGTCAAAAGCAAATATCATGACCTGTCGTGCTTTGCTTCAGAAGGAGCATTCTCGAGGATCCTAAGTGGTGTTTTGTTTGAAGCTCATGGGCTCAGTCTAACGCCTTCCGAAATCTTGTCCGGCCTGCACTTTCACTGAAGACCTGAGGGCTTCATGGGAACCCTTCCAACTAACGAATGCGCAATGTCGTCCTGCTCTTCGAATCGAAAACGAATGCAGCAACGGCAGCAACTTTACTTTGGAATGACGGTCTCTGGCTGCAGCTCGAACGTCGATTGTTGAAAAGCCAGCCAGCGCATTATCCTTAGGAGGCGTATTCATTTTGGGATTTTTCTTCTTTTTTTTTGATTTTTTTTTGGTCTGGGTGCGTGCGCGGTTCTACTGCCTTCCTGTCTTGCAGGCTTCTTGGGTTCCTTGGCTTCTTGGCTTTTCGGTGGCCCCTCCACTTCTTGTAGTCTCCTGACTTGGAACATACTGCCTTCGCGTTTCCTATGGCTCCCTGGCTTTCTGGTTTCCTTGGCTTCTTGGCTTTTCGGCCTCTCAGCTGAACCTCTCGACTTCTTATAGTCTTATGGCTTGGAGCATATTGCCTTCTAGTCTTGTATGGCTTCCGGGCCTCTTGGTGTCCTCGGCTTCTTGGCTTTTGGAGCATACTCCCTTCTATTGTCTGCTCATGGTGTGACGTATTCTTTAGCAATCGTGTCTAGAGACGAAAGCTTATTCAGATCTGTTTATCCTTCTCACGGGAGAATTTCAGATGTAACGAGGGATCTCGGTCTAGAACCTTTAGAATAAATCTGTATTATACGGTTCGCTGCCGCGGCGTGGTCTAGTGACACATGGTGGTCGAAGGCCGATAATGGTCCAGCCGCAGAAGTGGAATTTACTGATGCGCTCGGGTGGTGTTACGCAAAGTCTTTGTATTGTTGTATGTTAAAGCTGAGTGATCCATCCTTCCGTCTCACATTGGAGAGAAGAGAATACGCTGCAGCCCTGGGCTTACAAGACACGAAAAAAGCTGCTTTCCTATGCTGTAGGCCAGGCAAACAGCAAAAAAACAAAATTCACAAACAAAAACAAGAAAAATTCCAAACTAATTCCAGGCCCATTAGTCATCAGCTCTGCCTGGCAACGCCGACTATTTTCTCGTGTTGAATAGCAGCTTAGTTTTCTGGAATCTTTTCATACTTCCTCATGCAGTGTTGCCTGTCTCACAGTCTTTCACAGATGCCCCACAGTTTACATGTAGCCCGAGTGTACCACAAGCACTATGAGCACTGGAATGCCAGGTGAAGGAGGTCGAGGCATGCGCGCTGGCCGTCGAAGAGGCCGGTGCCAATGCTTTTGATAGTCGAAAACAGGTCGTGGTTTTCTAAACCTTCGTGGCGGTTTGGAGGTGTTCGAACTTCAAAGCTGAAGACTGCGTTGTTTTCGCATAAACTCTCTCGATGTTTGCTGCAAGGCTGGCAGCGATGCCAAGACTGCCACGAAGGTCACATGGCGGTGAGCACGCGCCCCAAGGGCTAGCCCGGCATCCGCCACACTGAGGCTTGTACTGACTTCATCATGGTGAACGGCAATGACATCAAGGATGATTTGTAGACGGCATCGATTCGTCATGCCAGCGCTGGGGAGGACTCCGCACCACTCCCGGCCATTCCTGGCGTTCAGGTGACTGGTGAGACGAAGCAGGCAGTACCTGAGTCATGCGGTACACTTCTGAATAGATAGAATAGCCTAGCAAACACATCGAGCCCGCAACTGGCAGCAGGCCCTGGGAAAGCTTTTGCAGCGAATCAACGAGCAGTGGGCACAGATGTAGCTTCGACTCCTCAAGTGGTTGTTTGCTGGTTTGGTAAAGGTCACACTGCTCAACCTCAGGTGCGGCAAAACTGCCGAGTCTTTGATACAAGCTGCAAGAGGTTCGACAGCAGCTGTCACGTTGGAGTGCCGACCTCCTTGGTGCCACGTGGAGGTGCAAAAGAGCAGGCCGTCCGGCGTGCTTTTGCCAGGCAGAAAACGAAGGAGATGGAGGCCTCGTTGATGCATGTTGGGGCAGCCCTTCATTCGCACGTTCTGTCGACTGCTAGTAGCTGTGGTTTTCGTTTCGGAGAACGGATTCGGCTGCCTTTGAGCTGGTCTCGAGTTTGGGAGAGCTCATGGAACACTCATGCTCCCCCAAGCACAGACAGGCTATGTTCGCAAAGTACGACAGGGACAAGGATAATGTGCTGAGTCAGTCTGAGGCTGGTGTAGAGTCCTCCTTTCGCATGGTACTACTCCGGATGATTCAGAAATTACGCTGTAATGGAGGTGGTTGCGTATGCCAAGAAAGAGATGTCAATCAATGTGGACAAGGCCAGCTCAGGTATTTGTGAACTTGCCACATGTGGCTCCTCTTAAGGCTCTTCTGGACAAAGTTTGGAGATGCAGCGTGGATGCTGACGAGAAAGGCGTAAGTTTCGAAAAGTTCGGCTCTCAAAGCCTCCACTGGGTGGACTTGTCTGGGGGTTCTGGCCGGCCGTGGCTGAGGATGTACTTGCTGAATGCATCTATCGGCATCGTCCGGGAGATGCAGCGGAATGAGCCACTTGACAACGTATTTACATGTCGCCGACTCGCCCATATTGAGAAACAAGCAATGCCTGGTGGTCCTTAAGTCCTAAGACAGCAAGACTGTGACATTCAAGGCGCCGCAAGGCAGCACGGATAGCAAAGGACGCTCTCTGTGTTTTGTGCTTCTTCGAAGATCATGAGCACTCTCGCTTCAGGAGCGAGTTCTGGCAGGGCTTCGAGAGAAGGTGCGGGCCAAAGTTCGCGAGGCGCCACATGGCTATTGTCTGAACTGTAGTAGACTCTGGTCTGGGCTCCAAGAAGGTGGGCCTGCGGTTTCTGCTTTGCAGGCAGATCGCTTCGCACTGGAGTTCGAGAAGGCTTGCAGCATTGGATTGTCCATGCTTGCGCTCTTTCTTAGAACTGCAGACAATTGCAGGAACTCCGTGTGATGGAGAAGGTCGTGGCTCCTTTATTCGGAAAGGCGAATGCTCAAACCTCGCAGTGTGGTCCCAGTTGCTCGACTGGACGCTGCATATCCAGGCCAAGACGGCTCCAGTTTCCGAAATGGAGGAAGAAGCCGATCGCTGCGATGGCTTGGTGAAGGTAGCGGGGCAGAGAGCTAAGCCAAGCAGTCACAAGAAAGGCAGCAGAGAGGAGGGCTGTACACATTTGGCAAGGAAATGGATAGTCACAGGCTTGACAACAACACATTGAGCGAGTTGTGAGAATGGTTTTCCAGATTCAGAAGCCACTGATACTTCGAGCGCATGCAGATACTGGCAGGCTTGCAGAGACACGGAGGAGAAGATGCGGCAACGGGTGAGGTCGATTCCGCTTGGCTTCGACAAGCGGCTTGCCTGTGACAGCTGGGACATGCTGGGACGTTTGTTTGATGCGCAGTCAAAGCAGAGGTGACAGTTCTGCTCAACCCAGGAAGTATGAGGATGACTTGAGGGAGTTCGTGAAAATTGAGGCAAACTCATGTTGGCACCAGCGTCGGACAGCGAGAATTCGAGCTCTGGCCTGTCAGACGAAGCCCTTGGAGTCTCGAATGGGTCGTGCAGACCTGCGGCTCGTCCGGGCTACCAACCTTACTAGGCTGTACCGCGAGCAGGACCCGCGCCCCTCGCTTGTCTGAGTCACTGAGTCACCAAGTAGCCATAGAATTCTTTGCCGGCAGGGCTGGCGCCGAAGGGCGCAGGAGCTCGAGATTGTCCGCAGCTTTGCCATGAAGGCAAGTTTGATGGCTCTGCAGAAGCAAGCTCAACTGCCATGCCTACCAGGTGGCTCGCCAGTTTGCTAGACTCAACAAACTCAGTTACGAGGAGACTCCTGTGGATCAAACCGTTGTCAAGCTTCTGAGGGGCGCATTTTGTAACCCTTCCGCAGAGTTAGCTGCCGAAGGAGCTGTTCGGCCATGTAGATTCCGATGGTGACGGAGCTCTGGATGAGGAGGACCCAGAAAAAAGGGGCACACGCAGATCAGCGCTCGGAGCTTCGAAGCCCAGGAGTTCATCTCCTTCTTCTCAACGATAGACAAGGCTTCCAAGTGGCCTTGCGGGCCTGAGAGCATCTGAGAGCTGACTTCAGGGTTTCGGCACAACCCTGAAGGATGTCAAAGAAGAGGAGTTTGAGCCTCAAGAGGTAGCGGAGGAGGAACAGGCGGAGCCGGAAAAGCCGGTCCAGGCAACAACCAGCTCTGTTACTTTGACAGGATTGACGGCATGTCCTTGGCTTCTGGGCTTGCGTGGTCAGGTGGCTGCAATGGAAGAAGCGGACAGTGAGGCAGTCGAGGAGACGAATGTCACGAACAACGTCAGCCCAGTGGCAGTCGCTGCGCTGGACCAGGACATGCACATGCACACTCTGCTTGTTGCATGCGTGTTCGATTAACGGATTCAAGCCCTCGTAGTTGAGTTCGAGACCCTGCAGGAGGCTGCTGGCCGATTGCAAGCCATACAAGCCATCATGCTGCAAGCTACTCCCAAGCCAAAGCCGAAGCCGAAGCTTGTGGCACCTGGACGGCACTTTCAATGGGTGCACTGCTGGTTGTTACTTAGTTAGGCGTTGGTACGTTTCTTTACTTCATTGATCGGCGTTGAGCAGGACTTTTCCTTGTCATGTGTTTCCGCACTTCTTCCACACTCTTCCCCAGCTGCACGCACAGCAAGGGCAGTCGCGCTGGGCTGTTTTTGGCGAGGGTGCGGCGAGTTGAATGTTATCTGAGCACCCCATGTCATCGCACTCGGCGTGATACATGTGATGATGGCGGGCTGGCGGTGTAAAAGTTCAGATCCAGATTCTTTCCAGACGTTTGTATCTTGTATTGTATGAATGAAAGACACGTCTCCTCCGTGCGACACCCTCGCAGCATGCATTGGATGATGGCTCATTACCAGTGCCTGCGGAGTTTTGCACGCTTAAGCATGTATTGGTTTCACATCTCGAGAACGTTAGACCTGAAATGAATCGAAGCACCGATGGTTGTTTTGGGTACGACACTCTGTTCCAAGGCCAAGGCAGAATTGACTGCAGAAGAGTTGAAAAGGCAAGGCCGAATCGCTTCTACTGGTCTTGCACCGACTCGTAGCAGCCAATGTTTCATTACTTGGTTGGCCTGGCGCAGTCTCTTCCGAAATCTCCTGGAGCCGCACGAGGTGAAGATCTCTCGGGAGGTGATCCGTAAAACACTTCCGTGACGCCGGTCTCTATCAGCTGGACCGACCCGTGAGGTTTTTCTTCGCATCGTCAAGGCATACTACAAAGTTGTCAAGGACGTGCATCCAGTTCTTTGACAAGCCTCGCAGGCTAGGGCTAAAGTGCCAGCATTGCAGGAGACGCCGATGACGGAGAAGTTGGAGGTCAACGGCAGCCAGACGGTCCACCAGCTCAAAGTTGGCGAGGCCACGGATTGCACGCCATGTCCTCTTGGCTTGACCTGCGCAGATGCGAATGCTTGCAAACGCCGAATGTCACGCACTGGCTCCAGCAGCATTCGGCCCGAGCATTTCAGAACAACCCTACTCCCTACAAGTTGCAGGATTTTGGGTTGGTGCTGGGTTGTCCTTGCAGCCGCATCGTCCTTCGCTATGGGCATTGGGGCCTGTTTGACTTCATGATGGGCGTGGTGGGCACGGTAAACGGGATGCGGGTGGCAGACTCAGCATGATTTGCTGGACACCCGCCTGCTACCGCTACTGCTGCTACATGCTGCTACTGCACTGCGAAGGTGAGCTTCCGACGACCGCTTCGACGCTTTGCCTCGAAGCGCGCGGTGCAGCAAGGCCCAGGCCCCTCAGCTGGCGAGGACTCGACCAGAACAGATCTGCGAATGAGAGAATCGGATGTTTCAACGATTCCTCCCTCCTTTTTGTCTGCCATCGCTAAACCGTGCCAACGCGTGCTCTGAGAGCATTCGAAGTCCCTGGAGTGGCAAGTCCTGCGCTCGCTGCCTCCTCACAAGGTTCCCTGAGCTACATGTTGCAAACCACCTGTCTCGCTGCGAGGAGAATTCCATGGTGCACAGTGGGTTGAACAAGCTAAATGCTGCAGCTGTGCATCTCGGCTGGAGAAGTCATGCTTTCTCGACGAGGAACACTTCTCGTCGGTGACTGCTTCACGTTTGTGGTGCCTGTTGCATGGTGTTTGTAACATGCCGTATTCAGCTGAATAAGTCTGGCGAAACCGTATTCTCGGTCTGCGAGTTGCTGCTCTCGGCCTCGTCATACTTGTGCGATCTCGGGCCTCGGGTTCGTCTCTGCATATTTGCACAGCCGACTCCGAAGTACAGTGCTTTGCATGGGCAGGCATGGCCACATTGGCCGTGCCGATAGTATCTTTCATCAGCTGCGAAGCGACATTCCGGCCGAGTCGCGCCGAACCTGGCACAACACCCGCCTGAAGGAATCTCTGCTAGTCAAGGAATTCTGTTGTGTCTCCTTTCGAGGTGGTAAGACGCTGTCTTGAGACTTCTGCCTGGAGAGGCCTGTGCCAATGCGGGAAGTGCTGACCTCGCTGTAAAGTATTACGAAGAAATGCTGGAGGAAGGTATCGCGCCCAATGGTCGCACTTTTGGAAAGCTCATGGAGGCCGCAACCAAGCAGACCAATCGACAGGAAGCGCAGCGCTGGTTTAGAGCTCACACAAATGCTCACGGGCAAGTGCAAGGTCTGCACATCCACATGCTCGTAGATGCTGCTGCAAGAGAAGGTGACTTTCGCGCAGCAGAAGCCTGGTTTAGACGTTTCTCGACTGATACCGTCTTGGCTCCGAACATCTGGGAGGCGCTGCTTTGCTCTGCAGCGAGGGCGGGTGATGCCGAGCTTGCTGAGGAGCTTTTGCTGGAGTCGACGAAGGCCGGAGCACATCCAAACCATAGAACTCTTGCAGTGGTCGCAGTTGCGACATTGCATGCAACTGAAGGCCACAGCATTGCTTGCTTGGAGAGATGGTTCGATCTGGCTGATGGTGTCTTGTGTCCTGAAGACAAGGTCGCTTCCATGGCACATGTCGCAGCGGTTGCCGCCAAGATGGGCTACCTCGAAGTCGCGCAAGACCTGCTCCAACGTCTCTTGCCTGAGGGTGACGGCATTTCACTGCAGACAGACTTGGATGGCCCGGTGCACTCTGCTTGTTTCGAAGTTTCGCGGGCACTTGCCTTGCGGGGGCGGCCGGATCAGCTGGATGCAGCTGAAGCCTGGGTCGAACGAGGTGGAATGACGGGATCGCAGAATTGGCTTCGACGAATTTGTTTGGAACTCGTCAAAATCTTTGCTTCCTTGAACCATCTCAGTAGAGCAGAGAGGATGTTTGGCCTTCTACAGCGGGTTGGTGCTGCAGACCTGCACTCGTTTTGCATCCTCGTAAATGCCTGCTCCAAGTGCGGTGATCTTGTCGCTGCTGAACGCTGGTTTGAGAAAGCTCTGGATGCCAGCATCAGACCGGACATCGTGCTGTTCACGTCCGTGGTCGATGCTGCTTCTCGTAAAGGGGATATGAAGGCTGCTGAGTACTGGCACAAACGTGCAACCTCGTGTGGTTTGAGGCCCAGCAGTGAAATGTTCGGCGCCTTAGTGAGTGGAGAAGTTCGCAACGATAACTTGCCAGGTGCAGAGCGCTGGGCAGCATTGGCTGAGCAGGAATATGGACCAAACTTGGTTATACTGAACTCTCTTATTGTCGGCCATGCGAAGGGCAAGGACATGAGCGCAGCTGAGAGGATTTTGTTCAGAACTCTTGTTGGCAGCCGGCTGCAGCCGGACGAGAGGAGTTTTGGACCGCTGATCAATGCGTATGCTGAGCAAGGATGTTTTGCGGATGCTTTGAGATGCTTTAGAGCTATGTCATCGCATCAACTGCGGCCGTCTGTGATCCAGTATAACCAGATTCTGAAGGCGTGTGCAAGGTCACGCCCAAGATTGGTTCAAGAGGCACTGGACATTTTCGACGAGCTGATGAAGCTATGTGATTTGCACAACCAGCACGACAGTACGTCCAACACAAGGCCAAATAAGATCGAGAAGATTTGCGACCTTTTGCCAACTCGGATCACGCTGAAGACGCTCGGGCGCTGTGTGGGAGCACGACGCTTGTCGCAAATCTGCCAGGCGAGGATCACCAAGACTCACGCATAAAATCACGCATAACAATCTTGTTTGCCAGCAGCCTTGCCTCCGCCCTGAACCTGTCCCGCAGGAATATGGCATTGATCAGCAGAAGCTGCTGGGAGCTAGATTCAGTGCTGAGGAACAGAAGCGCGCTTCGTCCACCGCCGAGAGATGGATCTTTGCAGGAGAGGAGAGCTCTGGCAGAGCCCTCCGCGAGCAAAAAGCCGCACAGTCCGCAGTTCCGTCGATGTTGCCACCAGAAGCGAACGAAAGCTGTCCCTGTAGCCGCTGTAGCCTCGCCGAACGGGGCGCCTGTCAGATCCTGGAAATGCTCGAGGGCCCCGAGAAAGAAACTTCCCTGAAGGCCGCTCGTGCCGAGTTGTCAGCAGCTGTCATGCGGGCCTTTGGTATGTTGTTCGCACTGCCAGGTCTTTCGAGCCAGGGGCAAGGCCAGCAGTACGTCACACAAGTTTCGCTTGAGCCAACGCTACGCTACAGGTTGTGGGAGATGAGAACGACAAGGCCATTGCCGCCCTGTGGGCTCATGAGAGTCGGTTGCCCACTTGTCATTCCCTAGAACAGTCCTTCACAGTCTCGAAGGAAGGCTGGGTGACCATCGCGGGCAACCAGGGCACAATTTTCCTGCAAGAGGGCGGCCACCTCTGGAAGGCTGACTAACTTGGCCTAGCGTCCTTTGCCCCCTACTATTGCCTGTGGCCAGGTCCTCAGGCAAAGTGAGCTCTCTGAAACTATGGAGGACGAATGCTGACAGGATCATGCCTTATCCCTGCTAGAAAAACGGAACGAACAGCTTTAGAAACCGATCGAAACCAGATAGCCACTCGGCCGAGAACCAGAAAGCCTTGCTGAGGCCCTGCAGGACCAACGAGATTTCAACCTGCGCACTTTCCAAAGATCCCAAACTTTCGTCGGAGTTGGTATTGGTGTATCACACGTGCGTGTGCAGTACTGGGTGGTTGACCGAACTCGATCCCGCTTACTGAAAGCCGACACCACCAAAGCTAGTACTCTGCTACTACTACTGCTACTGCTGCGACTACGACGACGACTACTCCTGCTCCCCGACTACCACTCCTACCGGTACTGCTGCGCTGAAGTAGTGGACTATCCGAAGTCCGTACATTTGACTGCAAAGGCATAAGTTGTTACAACAAGTGCACTGACAGGTCCGAGCTGTTACCGTGTTTTCCTGCTCGATGTACTGGTTCAGGGTTTCAGGATGCTCAGGCCCGCACAAAGCTAGTTGTCTGCCCTCCTGCCAGGACACCCAGCCAAAGGCAGGTGTCCGCAAGGTCAAGGAGGGGGAGGCACCGGAGACTGATGGCAGATGCCGCTGAATGGTAGCAACCCTACTAACGAGCATGTACAGAGTCTTGTTGGCCCGCGCGCCAGTTAAGCTATGTCTAATTGGCACTCGCGATAGAGCGAAAACACGAGATTTGTCAGGCCGCATTGGGATTTGCATCTTTGAGTGCAGGTGCTAGAGGTTCTGACCTGGCCAAGAAAGGATGAGGAGCCCTTTCCCCAGAAACAACATTCATCCATCTGCATCCAGCCCATGTGCTTAACACTTCCCTGACCTCTGCTGTCCTTGATCTCACTTGCGCCTCCTTTTTCGTGAGGTCCGGCCTGATGAGGCTGCGAGTGAGAGCAAAGATGGACGGAGCATCTCAGCTGAACTCCGGCGAGCAAGATGAGCACTGAAAAAAGCAGCACGCGCTGTGCCCCTGAGGTGATCGGGTGGATGACCCAGATCAGCAAGGACTGCTGGTAGCTACCACCGTAGGCTGATCGCTATGCACACAAAGACACATGTCAGGATGGCACTGTGATTGCCGATCCTATCTGACAAGCTCTTTCTGCAGTTTATCCGCCACTATGGAACGCATCTCAAAGCATTTTTTGCATTGTAAATCGCGCCACTCCGGCAACCGTGACGGGTCGCGGAGTATCAACAGAGTTCTAAGGGCACTAGTTTTTTTGCAATGGCAGAAGGCGCCGTGGCAGTGATCTTGATTGATGTCAATGCCTCCAATTATGCATGGGCATGGAAAGTAAGCATGAGTGAAGTGCCTGAAGTATTTGTGGTGAAGCGTCAAGTGAAGCTCCTCTAGATGATGCGCTTCCCATCGGTCTGAAAATGTGCTTCAAGGCAGCGCGTTCCCCGCGTGCTGGAGCGTGGATTCTTCAAACAAGACTTTGGAATGTGATATGATGTCATTCCCTCGACTCGCGAAAGAACCCACTTGCTCGCAGCCTCTGCCTGTTCTACGTTGTTGTTTACAGAGTGACTCTGTAAATAAACACGGAAGATGACTCCGCAGCAATGGCGCAACTGGCTAAAGGACATCCCGAAGCCCTGCCAGCTATAAGACATCAAGCAGCACTTCCACCCAAGGGGTCATGCCTAAGCCGGCTCAAAGAGCCGTGATCATAATGTGTTGCGGCAGGTTGTAGTTTAGGAGGCTTTCGAGACAGCGACTTAGCATCCCGAGAGTCGTTAGATTCAACTCAACCAAGCCGAGTTCGTTCGTCAAGTGTTGCCAATGTCAGGGGATCTGATATTCCGGAGGTTGTTTCAATACCTTGACCTTTTTTCAAGCAAAACACAGACCAATGTTCAGCCTGCCTCCAGCGACCAAGTTGAAACCGAATAATCTTGGCAGAAATGTGGCCGTACTATCCACGCCTGCAAACGGCTCTGTTGTAGTGGTTGACAAGCAGAGGACTGACGGCTAACCTCGACATCTAGATTCTAGATACACAGCCTACATGGCGTTGAAACCTGCAGAGGCTCATCATAACCAACCCTCTCAAGTCGGCTGAGAGGATTTATTGGTTGTGCTAAGTCAGTGCAGGAGAAAGAGCGAGGCGAATGCAGATGGGCTGTGGCGGTTCTACTCTTCATGTGCATCATCAGAAGCAGGGCCAACTGCATGGTTCAAGAAGGCTTATGTGGAATGCTCGGTGCGTGAACATGTGGCAAGCAACAGGCACATGGAGTCGTACACAGTATTCGACGTTCTGCATGTGTTCCTGCTCCCGACTTGCGTGCCTTCATCCCAGAAGTAGACAGCATACCCGTGCCGCGGCTTTGGAGAATCGGCTGAGAAGCAGCCGGACTCTCTCACGGTCGAGTGCTGAGACGCGCTTGATAGCCACTGATGTTTGCAAGCAAGGACTAGTCATGCGCATGTCCATGCACTTTTCAAGAAGCACCGCAATGGTACCAGTCCCAGAACCGACGAAGCGGCCAGAGTGGGGTGTTGAGCTCAGGTGAGATGGGACAGAGCGACCAGGCGGCCAAAAGACTCAACCTGCGAGTAACGATAGGTCTGCTGAGTAACGCTTTGTGGTGCGCAGCACCCATGAGTCCAGGGGCTTCTTGGTGAAATCCAGGTGGCGTTGGTTGCCGTGACAGACTCCCAAGGAGACGGAGAGAGAAGCATGTCAGTCTCGAGACGTGCCGACGCCTGGTGCCAAGCAGGCTCCCCGGAAGTGAAGCCATGGCGTAATGGCTCGTCACTGCAGCAGGCGCCTGAACGGCATCTGCTTTGAGCTCTGATTGTTCTGCATCGCTGGAGCATGCCGCAGGCGGCAGATGTCTTGTTGCGTGCGATCAAAGAGGTGGCAGCTGCTTCCTTGCTTGCTCGGGACATGACGATCAGTTGAAGCGCATTTCCAGCGAGTGCAGCAGGCACAAAACACGCAGCAAGCTTTGAGCTCAAGAGTCGTGCACTTGGAAACTGAGCTTAAGGCCGGACTTGCTCTCGAATTTCCGTTGGAGTGCAAGGCAGAAGCCGGAGCCAGGGAGTGATACACCGGGAGATAGAGAGAAGCCTGTGGGAAGGAAGGAAGGAAGGAAGGAAGGAAGGAAGGAAGGAAGGAAGGAAGGAAGGAGCTCGAAATAGTCGGCGGGGGGGGGGGGGGGGGGGGGCTCGCACAAGGCCGGCGCTTGGAATGCTGATATCAGGGGCTGTGCGAGGCCAGGTTGCCCGTGTCTTCAAGAGGACAAGACTCCTCCCAGAGCGAGAGCGCAGGGATCACGATGGCACCTGGCTTCTCACACGCTTGGAGGAAGAGACTGACAGAAGTTGGGAGTTTGCGGCGCTTAAAGTACGGGGGGCCACATGCCTGACCAAACGCCTCCAGAAAGAAAACGGAAAGGGAGAGAGAGAGAGAGAGACAGAGACAGAGCCAGGTTGGAAAATCTCATTCCACTCGCCAAATCCTAGTTTCTTTTGAACGCTCCCTCCACTGCTCGTGTCTTCAGAGAATTCAAGGGGGAGGAGGCTCTAATTCGCCAGGTTCTATCCCGGGAGTCTCGGTGTTTTCCTGTTCGAAGAAGCAGAGTGCAAGGCTTTCCTCCGGCTCCTTTGGCTGGCCAGCATGCGTTAGGACTGCTTGCTTGTTGGGGAGGATGGGATGTATCGCTTTGACATCATATAACGGGGGGAAACTGCTGGCCAGCCTCCTTTTGCTGTTCTATCATACAGCCGAGAGCCCTTCTCCATGAAGCTGGCCAAGGGGGTGGAAAACCCTGCGATGGACCGCAGGTGCGCGTCTGCGCGCGGGGCGGGTGAGTGCCCGCTTGCCTCCTCTGTCCTGGTAGAGGCTCTGGTCGAGAGAGAGAGAGAGAGAAAGAGAGAGAGGTTCGTTCGTTCCTGACCCTCACAAACCGTCGGACCGTGCCTTTCGAGCGGACTCCCTGCTGTCGGTGTAGCAACCACGCTGTCTAGAGCTTTGTAGGCTGTCGTGTTGGTTTGTATCTGGAAGCTTTCACCTTGTAAGGCATGGGGTTACGATGTTGTGGGCTCCGAGGGTGCGAGCTAAGGATGGTCTCCAAGCGATGGTATCACGGATTTGGGGGGTCTGCGGTCGGTGTTCTGTTTGTTTTGAAGCTGAGACCCTGTGCAGCAGAGCCATTGGGCGGGGCAACCCCCCCGGTGGAGTTCCACAAAGCCTGTGAACCGCAGGTGCGCGTACGCGTGTGAGGGGGTAGGCGGACATCCTGCCCTCTCTGGCCTGGTAGAGAGAGAGAGAGAGAGAGAGAGAGCCAGGTTATTTGTGGCAGAAGACGGGGGAGGGAATTATCACCAAACTGCCGGGTAGAGCTTCCTTCTCTTCAAGTTTTGAACCGGAAGAAGACGAGAGGCTGGAAGTGGCTAGAAAGGGAAAAGAGCTAAAGCGCAGAGATGGCAAGGTAATGCCCAAACCCATCCGTGAAGCTTGCCTCAATGTCAACTTCATGGTGCCGGCAGTCCGTCCGTGGGATAACACTTGTGAACTGCTAGGAACCAGGTCGACCTTCAGCACAGGTCACAGGTGTTTTGCTTTAGATATCGTCGAGGAGTGCAGGGAAAACGGAGACCTTGGGTAGTTGGCGCCATGGGTAATGTGTCATCCCAATCTTTGGCGAAGGCGGCGCCGGCCTTCTGCTTGACTCTCGTCTTCGGAGTCGCAACTGCCTGGCAGTTCTTTCTCTGTCGCAGGCAGGATCGTTTGGGCTGCTTAGGTTGGAAGCAGCACCAGAGCAGCCTAGAAGATTCGCCAAGTGCCATTCACGCCAACACAGAGGAGCTGGGCCCGCGTCAAGCGAAGAACGACCTGGAGGATTTAGCCTCGAACGTCCACGTCCGACCACCCATGCTGGGTTTGGGAGAAGTCCTTCGAAGAGTCCGGGGACAGCAAGTTGATCCCGAAGCAGAGACCCTTTCCACAGAAACTGCACGCCTCCCAGGCAGGCAGCGTATACATGTGAAGACCTTTGGCTGCCCGCATAATCAGTCAGATGGTGAGTACTTGGCAGGACAGCTACAAGACTACGGCTACACGTTAGTGGAGACTCTTGAAGAGAGTGATGCCATCGTTATCAACTCTTGTACTGTGAAGCACCCATCGGAAACAAGAGCCTTGAACCTAGTTACCAATGCCCAGCAAGCTGGGAAGGGAGTTGTTCTTGCAGGCTGTGTGCCTTCTAGCAACAAGAAGTTGGCACAGACACTCACTGGTGTGAGCATGCTGGATGTCACACAGCTGGATCGGATCGTGGAGGTGGTCGAGGAAACAGTGAAGGGAAACACAGTGCAGCTGCTGGACAAGCGAGGAGATTTACCCTCACTGTCCTTACCCAAAGTGCGCAAGCATAGATTCGCGGAGATTATCACAATCAATGCGGGGTGCCTTGGAAACTGCACCTACTGCAAGACCAAGATGTCGCGTGGAAAAGTTGTGTCCTATCCAATCGATGCAATTATCGCACGGGCACTTGAGGCTGCAAGCGAAGGGGTCTGTCAGATCGAGCTTGCCTCGGAGGACATGGGCGCATTTGGCCTGGACATTGGCACGAACATCGCGGAACTGTTGGTGCGCTTGTCCGATGCGTTGCCTCCCCATGTCATGCTTCGTACAGGTATGACTAATCCACCCTTCATCATGCAACATGTGGACAAGATCATCGAAGTCTTGAACCGGCCGAACGTGCATGCCTTCATGCATATTCCCGTTCAATCTGGTTCTGACCAGGTGTTGAGGGCCATGAGGCGGGAATACACAGTGGGTGATTTCGCGTATTTAGCTGATCGACTCAAAGCTGGAGTTCCGGAGCTCTTCCTGCTTACGGACATCATATGTGGCTTTCCCACTGAAAGTGACGAGGACTGGAATCAAACCATGGAGCTTTGCCGCAAGTACCAATTCCAAGGCATCCACATCTCGTGATTCGGTGGCAATCAGAAGGTTTTATTTAGCGACGTTAGGGACCATGGACCATGACTTAACTCTCTTCCAGGGCCTTGGATGCTCTGGAACTCTCCATTTCAAGCCGTTGATTCGTGCCCTCTCCCTTCCAGGCAATTTTATGCACGACCTGGAACAGCAGCTGCCCGTCTGAAGCCTTTAAAAAGCCATGTGGGTAAAGAACGCTATCGAGAGCTTGCCGAGCTGGTCACTTCCACCAATCGGAACGAGGGCCTACTGGGTCGCAAAGAGCGTGTATGGTTTGCGGATACCGAGGAGGAGAGGTCCAAGAGCGAGCAGGGGCAGACCGTAGGTCGCACTAAGACCTTTGCCAAAGTTCTTGTACCTCGCGACGATGCGCTCCTGGGTCGCAGCGCGCTGGTGCGCATAACCTCCACCTGTCGCCTGCACGTGGAGGGCCAAGTTTTGGGCGACCTGAGATAGAAAAAGCATTGTGTGCTGAAGTGCAGTCACACGTTTGTTTGGCAAGTGGAGCCCTGCCATGTAATCTCAAGTGCCTGACGTGGGTGTTCTGCAGGCTGCACAAGCGCAGGCTGAACTGTGGGAAAGGCCAGGGTGCAGCTCGGCGAGACACTGAGCTTGTGACTGCAGAAGATCTTTCAGGGAATTGGAAGAGGCGCTCGAAGAGAACGAGCAGCTCAAAGCCTGAGGCTTACCGCAGTTCGGGCGCGCAGTCATTCATAGCACTGCCTCCTGGCAGTGGTGTTCATGCTCGTAATCGCAGTAGTAGCAACAACCCGTCTTTTTGTGGCTATGGTCGTGGTTGCGGTTGTTGTCATGAAGTGCAATGGCCGGCGCGAATGGTGTGTCGATTTCAGGCCTGCGATGGGCCAAAACTCGTTTTTCGGCATGTCGCAGGTCCGACACTCTTATGGAGAGGATCCAAAAAGTGTTTGGGATTTTGGATGTTGGCCAGACTCTGTCTTCGGCTTGGAGTTAATGGGGATGGGATCGGTGATGACATCCATCCGAGTCAGGGTTTCTGTTATGTCATGTCTCTTGTTGACCTGCTTTTTCCCGTTCATGCCCTTTACTTTTTCACAGTGGTCGAAACCCAGACTACCTGCAATGTCACGAACCACAAGAAAGCAAAAGTCCTAGCCCAACCGGCGGACCAGAAAGAATATGATAACATACTAACCGTTAATAACCGTTACTAGCCCCGAAAGTTTCGAAAACCACGGTTAGGTGAGACACTTACCACAGGTGCCCCGAAAACTGCTCCGTGCAAACCACTTGAAAAATCCGTGCCACAACAACTGGATTCAAAATAAACACATTCAAATCTATCGCTGTCTTTATTGCAGAATGCCAAAACAACGACACACGCTCCGCAACGGCAGTTGCACCTCGTACCTTGTCGTCGTCGTTGTTGTTGGTGCAGGTGCAGGCGCAGGTGCTGGTGCAGCTGGTTGTGCTGGTGCAGCTGCTTGTGCTGCTGCAGTTGCTGCTGTTGTTGTTGCTGTGTTGTTGAATCCGCCCACTGAAGAAAGAGGAACCACGTTTTCGAGATAGCAGGAGCTGTTTGCAAGAAGTGGTGTGAGTTGGATCCGGATACGGTACCAACTGTCAGATGATACCGAATGCGCGTGGGTCCACAACAGATATTAATGCTGAGACCGGTTCTTAAAAGTGGTTTCAGAAGCCGCAAGACAGAGAGATGTGCAGAGCATTCCAGAAGGTCAAGCTGCTCCAGATGAGACCGCTCGCAAGTCAGGTTTCGGACTTCAAGGCCCGCTGCACCAGAGCGTGCAAAAGACTCTCTTTGTGCCAGACACGACACAAACTGCTCATTGCAAGCCGCAGGGCAAGATCAGGAAGTATGCGGCCACGATCGAAGAACTGCGAAGGTCAGACAGGAGACCAAGTCGAGGTAGGTCGGCATCACTAGAATTACTCGCTCAAGGATGGTCGCGGCTTGCTAGACACCTCAGGCAGCAAGCGCCGTCGTTTGGTTCGTTGTCAAGATCGCCTTCCAGAAGAGGCAAGTGGCTCCTCGTGGGATTCTTGACAGCTTCCTAGTTGTAACTCGAAGCCTAGGTGTGGCAGAAAGCTCCCTGTCGTGTTGGCACAGTTCTCCTTGCAGGCGTCGGACCCTGCGTGTTCGCCCCGTCTCCCGGACTGTTTTGAAGGGGTTCAGCTTGTGAACAGTCATATTATCCGGCTTCTAGCTTCCATTGTGCCAGGCGAACAGCGGGCTGGGCAAAAGGAGACCGATATGGCTGCCAGCACGATCAGCCACTTCAGACACCAGGACCCCGAAGCCTGCGAGAGAAATCACACAGTACATCTCCATCTCTCTCAGACGACGACGGTTTTGCTGACTTGTTATCATATCATTCGTTTCAACAGGAGAACGAGTAAACGATTTTTGTGAGAAGGAGGCGGTCCGAGCGAGCAAGGACCGTCATTTGACAAAGGCTGCCAAGGCGGTTGCATTTAGAAGCTTTGCACATTGTGCACATCCAAGGCTTCTGAATGCCAGCACTCACTCAACACTGTTTACGAGCACGAACACTAAAGGCAAAGTCTCTCTCTCTCTCTCCCTCCCTCTCTCCCTCTCTCTCTCTCTCTCTCTCTCTGGTTCTCTCTCTTTCTACCAGGCATGAAGGAGAAGGCGCACCCGCACACCCACTCCGCACGTGTACGTGCAGCTACATGTCCTAAATCCCCGCTGGGGATCTTCCCCACTAGGCTCGGCTGTACCTTTCAGTCGAGGACCAGGTTTCACTGTGCGCCCCCGACGTGGACCGCAAAGTCTCTGACTCCCTCTCCCTGTCTGTGCAACCGGCTCAACCGGCAATGCCTGATAGAGTCTGAAGGGGTCTACAGATGTGAGGAAGCAAGTGCGGCAACAGCACTAAAAAAGCGCTGCGTGGCTTTGAGAGAGTGCTGGTGAGTTGCGAGCCATGAGAATGAGAGGAAGAGAGAGAGAGAGAGAGAGAGCTTTTTCCGGTGAACGGGGAACCATATTTCTTTTTCCGAGCTTGTACTGTTGGTGCCCCTTAAAGCCTCTAAACAGGGGCGCGCCTCTCGGCGCGGAGCGAAGCGAAGAGAGAGAGAGAGAGCACACCACTCAACATATGTACTATCTTGCTGTATCTAGTTCTTGCCACTACGGCCCTGCCCCCACGGAGGCGACCTCACCAGCAAAACCGGGCGACCCACCCAACAAACGTACAGTCATACCCCTCTGTCAAAAGGATGGAGGGGGGCGCGCTTCGGCGCGAGTTGGGGGGGAACCCCTGACTCTTACCCCGAGCAAAGCAAAGCAAAGAGAGAGCACACTCCGGGGGAACTAAGGCATGTGTTGTGACTTGTTGTAGCTTGCAGTGCCATGTTGAAGTGTTTGTTTGGGGGACGTCCAGTACCGGAGAAAGTTGCGAAGTTGCAATAGGCAACGGGTGAGGACAACAGTGCTGGTCGTAGCCTAAGGATGAGATGAGGCCGGGGGGTTGTTAGTGTTGGTTCAGGCAAGTACGGCCCACCTCATCTGATGCTTTCACCGCAGAGACCAGGGAGACCAGGGCGCCACTCGTGCGCAGGGGGGGCTGCTTCTTCCCTCTTGGCTGTGTGGAAGGAAGAGCGAGCGTCAAAACCCCGCCTGGACCTGCGGGTGCGCGCACGCGCGGAGGTGGGGGGACTTCCGTCCCTTCCTAGAGCGAACCCTCTCCTCACGCCCGCAGAAAGAAAGCGAGGGAGGGAGGGAGCAGATGAACAGAGAGATCGCGCAAAGAAAGAAGGGAAGAGAGCAGTTCTGCACAGGAGCCAAGGAGCCCTGAGCCTGTTCCAGGGCCTGGTTCCGCCGCAAACTCTGCCCCGAGCACATGCCGAGATGCTGACAAGAGCACGAGACCCTCGCCGGGGGCGCCCAACATCGCGGCGAACGCGGTGGATCCCAGAAATGGAAAGAACCGCTGGCCATTGGAAGTGCACGACACAAGCGGCCAAGATGCCAAGCCTGACAATGGGCAGAGAGAAAATCTGATAGAGCTGCGGCAAATAGCTGGCCTGCGGATATGGGAGCCAATACAGCCACCGACCGAGGCTACCAATGCAGTGGTTGCATCGAACCTGCCTGCCGATGCAGAACGACGTGAAGAGCCTGCTCTTTACACCGTTGGCCGTTCAAGTTCCCGCTCTTTCGAGCCACAGGTCCGTGCGGAGGGGCAGCATGCTGCTCCATCCCCTATTCAGCCAACTTCTGGCGCGCTGTGCCGCTGCGTGGTTCGCGGGAAGGAGCAGAGACTGGCCCTGCCAGGGCACGACTGCGAGATGTGCCGCCGCTTCTACGCAGCAGCGGGAGTAGGCTCAGCTCTAAAGTCGTCGAGGCACCGATCCGAGCACGCACCCACCAACACTCCTCCAGGCAGGCACTTGCTGTCTGATGAGTCAGAAGCTTTTGTTGTGAGTTTCTCTTTGCTGAGCACTGCGGAGCAGAGCTTCATGTGGCAGATGTCAGCATGTGTGACCGTTACATGGATTCTGGATGGATACTGTGAGGCTTTTGGGACTTGTCCTTCCCTGTCCATCCGGAGTCTACACCATAGATGTGGTCGAGGCGGGTTTTGGCATCACATGTTTTCCGTCAGATCATGAAGTCCGTACAGCTCCTGCTGAGACCTGACCCAAGACAGCGGAGCCCTGCCTCCCGAGGCATGAAGTCTCCTGAAAAACCTACGCTGGAGGAGTTCAAGCAATGGTTTCGAATGTGGCGTGCACATCGTGATTCAGCCCCAGAATTCATTTCATTCATGAGTCATTGCATTCCATTTGAAGCTTCGTGATCTTCTACCATTTCAGCATGTTTCATCTACATCACCTAATGGTTTGCAGCGTCGTGTTTTTTCGATAAATGGATGCTGTGGACCGCATGCGCGCCGATCAGTAGCGTGTGGATGTGCAGAGCCCATGTGCACCGCACTGGTTTACTATGCAGTGCCAAGGAAGCTTTTAGTGTTTCGCTTGTCAGAACGCACTGCTCCAGCCGTTAAGCTGATCGCGAAGCCTCAGGGCGTGAAGTGAGTAAATTAGCCACGATTTGAGTTGGATCGCTGAGACAGGGGTGCAAGACGGCGGCCCAAGAAAATGCGAAAGCACGTCTAAGCAGACCATGCACCTGGCACAATGCAAGCCGCGTGCTCGCCAAGAGACCAGCATGTGCTGCGCAGGTGCAGGGTGTCGGGCCAGGCCGTGATGGCAGGAGATTTCGTTCTGTAGCATGTGCCAAGCCGTAGCAGATGAAGGTAGACATCTCGCATCGAAGATTATCCCGCGCAGCCCCCAAACGTTGCAAGGACCATTTTTAGCGCGCACAAGAAGCGCAACGTCCTTGCCGGTGTGTGAGTCTTACCTCGTAGTGTCAGCTCCATACGGTCCCACTCTTATCATGTATTCTTGGGGAAGTGTGCGAGCTGGAGGTTGGAGTCGGAGGAAGACCACCCGCCAGTGTCACCATCCAAGCTGCAGACACTTAGATTGCCAGATGTGTGGTGCATCCTCTTTCGATGACATATCATGACATCCTTATTTTTCAAGCCCGTGCAATCGTCCACATTCCTGAGTGGCACGCGATCCCTTGCAAGTACTGAGTTTTTAGGTGTGCTAGGCTTGATCCCGCGCCGTTGCACTTCCAGATGCAATCCTAGCCACTGGGGCAAAGCTTAGTTGGTAGAGACTGCTACGGAGAACAGCCGGGGTGAGGGTCAAATTGGGAGGGCATGGGACCGACCACCACTTTACTGACTCTCAGTCCCGAGACACCGACCTCAAGAGACGACGAGACGTTTGCCATCCAGGAAGTTGAGCCAGTTCCAGAATTCACACAAGGAGCCGCCAAGCCACAGACGACGACAAGAAGAGAACAACCGTTCGTGCCCAGCTCTTCCCTGTTCTGTCAGGAGCTAGTTCATGCACCGTACATTATTCGGTCTGCTGTTGAAGCTCATAACAAATCGAAAGAAAAATGGATTCACTGGATGAGAACACCGCTCGTTGGCATAGGATTCTAAAACATGTCTGTGTCTGTTGGCGGATGCTTGTGCTCACACACACACACACACATATATATATATATATATATATGTATCGCCGAATTTGTAGGTGATATTCTTTCGATGCCATATCGAATTTGTAGGTGATATTCTTTCGATGCCATATCCTCGCTCTAAAAAATCCTTGTAGATCGCCCACGTTCGTTCCTCCGCGGAGACACGCATTCCCTTGCAACACGGAGTCGGGGGTTCCAGGCACAGCCCACGCCATGGAATGTGCAGACAGAGAAAAGATCGGCTGGCAGGTGCACAGAGTGAGCGTCCTTACTCTCTATCTTGACCACTCTTCCAGTCACTAGCGGAAAGTTCCCAGTGGCACGTCACAGCTGCAGAGTCGCTACTCGTAACTAGTCATTGGTGCCGATGGAGTCGGTGGAAGACCTAGGACGCTCAGGACTCCAAGCGGGCTGTTTCCACTCTGACATGACTTTGTGCATCAGCCGCCTAGGTTTGGCGGGATCCTGTTCCAGGAAAAGGTGCACTCTCCGGGATGCTTCGCACATGTTCTGACCTGGCTGGCTCCACGCTTGCCAGGCTTCTGACCTTTGTGGATTGACGGCGATGAGCCACCTAGCGCTGTGTCGTGAGAGTGGACCTTGGGAATGGTGAGCGGCTACTGGCCGATACCCAAGCAATGCAAAGAGTCCAGAGTACCAATGCCATATAAATGTTGATCCCGAATGCGTAGCGGCAGGGTTCTCGTTTGAAGCCTTCGGTTTGGTAGTAAGGAGTTTCTGGGCTTCGTGTGCCCTCTTGGTCTTTGTCCACCGACCTGAAAGCTGATGTCTTCTCGCTATGGGAATTCGTGTCCACCACGGAAAAACTGTGCAAGATCGCACTAGTTTTCTACCGCGGGTCGTATGGAAAATCGTAGTTCCATCATTGACAGCCAGACTCGCGCCATCTCGTGCAGCAAGTCTGCATTCGGGCTCGCACCGTCCATCAAAGCAATTCCATCTTTCCCCTAAGAAGTCTACTGGCCCTAGACTTGGCGAGCATCCCAAGGCTCTGCAAACATGACCGGCAAGTCTCACCCTTGCGGCTGCAAGACGGTTTTCGTGTATGGGCTGAGTTGACGGAGATTCGCAGGGGCACCAACACCACAGTGCTGGATCTCTCTCAGACTTTTGGAACTCCATCCTTCCTTCACCTCAGCTCATGCATTGGTTATGATTTCTACGCGCTCTGGCGCAGTGCAGCTCGGGCCAGGAGCGCTGGGGAGGGGATCGCAACTTCCAGTTTAGCTCCGCCTCCTTCCCGGGCGATGGCCCAATCCTAGCAATGGACACGGTCCATGCTGCCCCCTCAGCACGGAGCGGAGAAGTTGCGACTCTGGCAGGACTCGGCTCCTGCCTCATGCAGACGTGAACCCGAAGGCAAGGCTGAAGAGAGGGCTTCTTTGGCTCCACTAGAGAGCTTGTGTTTCCTGCCACATCGAACTCTTGCAGGTGCTCCGCCGTGGTGCTCACTGTGGAGCAGCGGCTATGGAACCTGAGCGTTTCGCATTGCTGCTATCAATGGCTCCTACAACTCCACTGTCCGGCAATGGGTAGGGTGTGTTGTTTGTCATCTGTAGTTTGTGTCCAGCATGTTTGCTGATTGTGTTTGCATTGCTTTGGTTGGGAGGGTCGGGAGAGGAGGGAAGAAGATGGAGGCGCAAAGAAAAGCAAGAACGACATACATAAATAAATGAAGAGAAATAGCATGACAGTAGGACAGCAAGGAAGAAGAAAGAAAGAGACAAAGAACAGTGTTTGGACACTGTGAGTAGCATGCCATGCATTGATCAACCATGCTAGGTATTGCCCATAATCCTTTCACTACCGCACCCAGCTGTCCAAAGCACATATGATCACACCAAGTATATACTGCCTGTAGATCGTTTAATCCCATGCCACCCCCACCGTGCAAGCTGGAATGTTCATACTAAGTATTGTCTAGAATACCCCCTTTACCACTACACCACACCCAATATTTGTGTCATCATGATTCGTACACCCACCATCACATGAACCGATTGTACCACTGCCTCAAAATGTAGTTGATTTCATGTTCATGTGGACTTCTATCTAAAACACAGAAAACCTTCATCAGAATGCTTAATACCGAGTATCATATATTGTGGTGGTCTTCTCCATCAGGTATCGATGGGGTGTCTTTAGGCGATATCCCTTATCCCGTGCTGGAACTGGTTAACTCTTAACTTTCGGCTGGTTAACCCTTAATTTGGGCACGGGCTTAACCCTTAATTTGGGGCAAGTTAACCCTTCATTTGGGGCGAGTTAACCTTTAATTTGTGGCAGAGTTAACCCTCAATTTGCCGTGAGTTAACCCTTAATTTGGGGGGAGTTAACCCTTAATTTGGGACGAGTTAACCCTTAGTTTGGGCCTGCGTTGCCCAAATTGAAGGTTAACTACCGAAGCTGGCCCGAATAAGGGTTAACTCCACCCCGAATTAAGGGTTAACACCGCCACGAATCAAGGGTTAACTCGTCCCAAATCAAGGGCTAACTCGCCCCAAATTAAGGGTTAACTCCACCCCGAATTAAGGGTGAACTCCGCCACAAATTAAGGGTTAACTCGCCCCAAATTAAGAGTCAACTCGCCCCTAATTAAGGGTTAACCCCGCCCAAAATTAAGGGCCAACCAAGCTGTAAAGAGAACGTGTTAGAGGAGACGTCCTCATATGTTATTTTGTGACAGCCGTCCTTACCATTATACGAGATCCGGTATCATGTCGCAAGCCAAATCCCCTTATGCAGCGCCAGCACACTCAGGCCCAGTTGCAAGGCCATGCGAATCCCGTGGCAGCATCAAGCAAAATATCATCTTAGGTCGGTGCCAATGATAGCTTTTCTGCCTACTTTTCGCAGACGATGGTTGTTTATATACTGTTTGTGCAGCACTTACATGAGATCCATGCGGTATAATATAGTGACTATAGTGTATCTAGGTATCCCAGTGTTTGCACACCCTAACAACTACATACCTGTAGCTCAGAAATCTAACTCCTGGAAGGGAAAGGAAGCTTCAGTGTCCGGGGCTGCCCAGATGCCTTATGATGGCAGGCAGGCTTTGGTGCTCTCTTCAGAAGCAGTAAAGCCCTTAAGCAGTTTAGTTGTGCGAAGTAGACACCCCATTCGACAGCCCATTCGGTACTGAAACAAACAAGGACTCCCACAGGAGATGCCCCCAGCGTGAAGAAATCCTCCAGTCGGGTCATGCTCACAAAACTAGGATTTTCTCGAGATAGCTTAGGCTTTGCAAGGTTTCCGAAGCCTGTCCACCAAAAAACCGAAGCATAGAACCTACACCAACACGTATCCCCTGCAGACGAGGACCAAAGTCACGAGCATCAGGTAATGCTCCGAAACACCCACCGCAGCACGACAACAGCTCTGGTGTGCCTCGCTGTTGGGTTGTTGGGACCCCTGCTTCGTTTGCCGGTGTTCCAGCCTCTGGTTTTCTGGCATCCAGTGATTGGAATCTTTGTTCTTGCTCTGCTATTGCTAGTTCTGTCCTCGTCTCTAGGTCTATCGTTTGTGTGTGTGTGTGTTGCCTTTTGTCATGGTCCTGATTCCTTTCTGTAATTTTTCTGGCCTTCTGACCCCAAACCCCTGAAGGAAGTGACATGTGGATAGGAAAAAGATGACAGAAGGGAGCTCTGGGTCTGGCAAACCTGTAGACCCTCTTGGTACCGGACGCTAAATGGTAATCGCCAACATCAGACCGAACCAAACCGCAACTCAAAATCTGGCTAAGCACAGGCAAGTGAGAGTGGTTGTGGCAGAGCATGCCGAACTGCCTGAAAGCTTGTACATGGGGCCCGAGGCCCAGGAGTTGATGTGATAACAAAGCCTCAGACGCTCAAGACGAAGACGAAGCGGGCATGAAGCCAAGTCCGCAAAAAAGGCTGAAATCTTGAAGGAGGTGACAGGGCCATCCCAAGTTCAGAACTGTATGTAGCAAGTGGAAGTCTCTGTCAGGCGCATGCGTGTCAGTGTAACAGGGAGTTTACTCCCGAGCCGCCTCATGCCCAACGGGCGACAAGATTACTGCCAAGAGAAGCCGCCAGATGCCGGCCGCTGTGATCCAACCCGCGATGGCCAGCGCCGGATTGTAAGACCCGTCCGCGTGGGGAGCTGCCTTTCTTCCACTGGGGAACAAGACGAAGCCGAGCCGCCTTTCGAAGTTTTTTGCAAAAGAGACAGCTGCCTAAATTTGCACCAGTCGTGATTGGCTGAATTGTGACGAACCCAGATATGCAGAAATTTGAAGCATAGAGGGTTCAACGGAGCCTGAGTAGGGCGATAAGAGGGAGCAGAGCCATGGATGACGTTTCAATTTCGAGACCCCGCACAGAATTGAAAAGACTCTGGCAGCAGCATTGATGTGTTCAAAACGGAGCAGCTTTGCTGTTCCGAAACAATTGCTCCATATGTTGTGAGTCAGTCGGCCTCTGTCGAGGTACACACTACTTACAAAATTTACCCACTAACCAGGTTGTTCTGGTACAAAAAAATATTGTATCTTTGTCGCGAGATTATCAAAATGAGCCGAAGCCTATGTGGAGATGAACAAGCTTCTCTTTGCGGCTCCTTCGCGACTTGCTCGTGATTCAACTACCCTCAGTGGGTCACTCTTGTTTGTCTACCTTCGGAAGCATAATAGCCGGCAATGCGATCTTGTTTATGTACATGGAAGGTCACGTGGCGCAGCGAAGCTGCTTGCCAAGGGACACACCACACGTTCAGTGCCACACGCAAAGCCCGGAAATGACACGAAGTTTGCTAAGTTTGCTGTTGCTGGTGCCTGAACAGTGGTGCAATTAAGAAGTGCCAGGCCGGTCAAGGACAACTCTTGACTTTCTGTGCTTTCCTCCGGTCGGCGAGTTTGGTGAACAACTGGCCACTTATGACTGCAACACGCCAGAGAGGCTGCTGCTTAGATCTGCTTAGCTTCACTTGAACAAGTCCGCGTCAGAGATGGCAGCGTGGAGCTGGAGATGCAGACGCCTCTCTGCGCATTCCTTGCTTTTCACCCTTAGGAGGCACACGCGGTTACACTGCAGGAACCTTCCCACGCAGCTTGCGTGCCACGCTTTTCATAGACTGCGCCGGACCGACGGAGGATGGAGCAGCATCAGCAAAGTGAGGGGTCTCGGCTGATCCGTCGGTGCATTGCAGTGCTTGGTTTCCACTTCGAGCAGCCTGGTTCTCGCACACACGGCTGCCACATGTCTAGGCTCCAATCCCGCGACGAGTCGCGACAGCTTCGATGTCACGACGACTTGAAGTTCAAGCTTAGTCCTAGAATGTCAGAGTAAAGCAAACCTGTGACTGCAACTGCAAGCAGCAGCTGCCAATGTCAGGGACCCCCACGGGCACTCTACAGGGTCAGAAGAAAGTGAGAAACACCATGAGACCGGTCCCGTGGTGTGGCCATGGGCAACCGAGACAGTAAGTGCCATGTGGCCCTGTCGGGTTTGCTCTTGGACGCTTGTAGTGCTTTTGTGCTATCAGGTCTCGTGTGTTCAGGTCTATTTCTGACGATTAGAGTCATTGTCGATGCGAGCTGATCGGAAATCCTCTGCAACGGTCTCTGCTCTCTTCCAAGCGGCCAGGCGATCATCGCCTGAGGGGCGCCTGAACTCAAGCGCTTGATGTGGGATGGCAAGTGAGGCGCCACGTCGGCACGTCGGCAGTGGCAGTCTTTCTGGTGCCGCAGCCGTCTCTGCTGCCTCAGCCAGGCATCCGCACCTTCAAGAACTCCCTTCAGAAAACGCCTGCAGAAGGCCGCATCAGCATGGCAACACGCGCTCTTGCAAACTTTCGCACTCTCGTTGTCCCACGTAGAAACGGCAAAAGGTCCAACTCAGTCGAGTTTAAGCAGTGCCCTAAAGGGATACTCGCAACTTTGCCGCTATAAGACAGATGTAAAGAATCGTAGGTACACCACATACATGTTCCCGACTCGCAGCAGGAGCTGGAGGGCTTGAAAGCACGCGGCAGTGAGGTGGGGTCACAAGGGGGCAACTGGGCAGTTTGATTGGCCTCGATTCCTAATTGAGCGTGTTTTCGGTCGAGGTGAAAGAGAGGCTTTCGGCTGCTCTTTTTGGACCATTCAGTGCAGGAACTAGCGTTATGCTTTTGTAAAGTAGCTTTGCATTGGTTTGGAATGTGCAGACAGGGGCTGGTGACAAACACTAACAGCATCGTCGGCGTAGTCAAAAGCAGCTGATCGGTAAATGCATGCGCCGGCAGGATGGAATTGCTGTCCAGGAATGTGATGACGAAACCTGGCACATCCAAGTGCTGGGAGGCTGACATCAGAGATGAGAGAAGGGCAGCAAACACGGATCAAAGTGGTGCCTCGCACGACTTTGGAAACACTGCCACTGACAAAAGAACTCAGTAGATCGTTAGATTCTGGACAAGCTTCTGGGACGGGAATGCGCACGTTCTTGGTATTCGCGCTGCAACGCTCAGCTCCCGGCACCATCTACGCTGGCGAGCAGTTCCTGCTTCGTTTCAAATTCCCGCCTAGAGTCTTGGTCGCAAAAACGGCATGTGTGTTTTGATGGAGATTCGGGCCAAGGCCCACGCGCAGATTTGAGCATGTGGACATAATATGACTGTAAGTGCAGCTGCGATTCAACTGGTCCCTCTGCTAGGCGCCTCAGCAGTTCCTCAAGCCTCCTAATACGCGCGTCCGATGACGGAGATTGAGAACTGAGGATATCCCTTGGAAAGCCCGGAGGTGGCCCACATCCAGCACTTGATGGAATCAAGCACAGAGAGACAGTTGGTAGAATCCCAACAACAGTGGTGGCTACTGGCCAGATCACCACTCTTGTCCAGTCCACGCCGCCAGGTCGTGTTCGAGGGCCCGTCACCTGTGCATCCGCACATCTACTCCAATGGGCACCACACCAGCGATTAGAGAGAAGATAGGAGATGCCATCCAAAGCAGCGAACATGCGCAGCAACGAAACTATGGTACTGTCACTATTCGTAGGCGTGTCATGAGACCCGGATCAGTGAACAAAAATGAGAAATTCACGCGAACCCAGTAGCTCCAGATTGCAAACAGCATACCTGCCCTTGCCCGAAGCCCAAGCGCTTCTTTGAGGCATATTTGTTTGTCAATACTCTACGATGCATGGAGCCCGGCTCTGACAGCCGCTTCCTTACCGTCCCATTCCATGTTGCCTTGGCCGTGCCGCCTTTTTTTGTAAGCGACAGAGTTGGAAGGCACAGGCCGCAGAGGACTCCTAAGACTCAGTGAACTAAGGTGCATGCCGTCTGCATGAGCATTGTTTCAATGCTCAGCAGTGCACAAGAGAAGGTTCGGCCTCAGGACATCATTCACAGAAAGTGCAAGCCCCGTCAGTGCACCTGACCGTTTGCTCTTTCATGCGCACGGCAGGATGACGCAGCGTATGTTTCGCGCGTGGGGCATCGCTCGCCGAAGCTGCAAGGCTCTTGGACATGAATGTGTCTAGTCAGGCAGCACGTCGACGAGTCAGTGAAGTTGCATTTGCAAGCCGCAGCTCCTGAAACATTCAAGCCATGCGACAAAGTCGGAATAAGAGAAAGCGCCGACAAACTTTAAACGCTGTCTTTCTGAATTGGCAGCCTTTGGAGATCTCCCAAGCTGTGGGCTCGACTCTCCGAGCTGCCCGCACATGGGAAGCTGCCCAATGCCTGCCGCACAAACCATCCAGGACTAGTTGCAGTACCCTGTGTATTTTTCTCACCAAGCCTCGTCTTGCTTCCAGACCTATTTCGGGATCTAGCAGCACATGCCATCATTTTGGATTACGAGATCTTACAAGTAAAGGGAGAGTACCTTTCAGCATGGCAGCGTTTTCCGGGCCTACGCTGACGAAGCTGGCTTCTGCTATGGTCTCTCAGAGCAACGCAGGTGGAACAAGATGCGCGAAGCAGCTGACTGGCGACATCATGTGATGAAGTCTCCTATTCTGTTTTGGATAACCTTGGTGTTTGAAGCCAGCATCCTCATCACCTTGCTAGACTACAGGCCCCTGCAACAATAATCCCTGGCATGACATATTTACGGCCTTATACAGCTTCACGCAGGGATTGGGACACTGGGGACAGGATTCCATTTCTGCTGAGGTCCAGATGGCATTTCGACGACGACCGAATTTGAGCGTGGCACAAAGTGCTGCTGCACAGCCCATGCAGAACTTCGAATTTCCCAAAAAGTAAGGTACTAATACTGCACGATTTGTGCTCCGTGTCTCGGGGGATTTCCGAATCTTTTGATGGCCCGGCCTCATGGCTTTGGATGGGGGCCTGACCTTCTGAGCTTGTGGGCCTTGCGGCATTGCCCGCCAAGTCGCCGTCCCCCAAAAGCTCGAACATGTCGAGTCCGGCTCGAAACTGGTTTGCTTTCCACTTTAGTAGGTGGGTCCTGCCTTGCCAAAAACAGGATTTTGCGAACCTATCCTTTAGGGATGGCAGACCCGAGCGAGCATGCAAAACCAGCCAGCCACCCACTCAAAGAAGAACAAAGAAAACGCTTGTAGTTCTAAACGTGGAGCTTGCGCTTGGGTCGCTTTCCGAAATATTCCGGCTGGCTTCAGCCACCAGCAGTGAGTCGCATGTCGATCAACCGTCGCTTTGATGCATTTGTGCCTTGCGCTTGTCTTGTGCTTTGGGTTGGTTCGGCAGTGCGAATCTTGCCAGGTCGTTTTTCAGTTGCCGGGCTTTCAACGACCCCAGACTTGTACAGAATGCCACTAGTACAGCCGCAAGACCTTCCGCCAGAGTGGCCTTTCGCTTTGTGCATGCTATCCGGTTAGTGCAGTGTTGTCTGTCTTTCACTCTTGCCTGATACCAAGCTAACGCAGCACCGGAAGGTGTGTGCGTGTGCATCCCAGGCACGATCTTTGGCTTTTGCGGGATGAGAGAGACCTCTTGGGATGTGATGCTTCGCATCATACAGTTTGCTGAAGATGGAACTTGGCGACGTCTTCCAGAGGTGCACCCCAAGGCAGCGGAGTTGTTCAAACATAGCTTTAACTGCCCATTTGGCTCATGGATGTCTGAGCTTTGGTGTTTTTCTCAAGTCTCTTCTGCTGTGCATTGCAGCTGGATTTTAGGTGGGCTTTCGAGTTCTGCTCGATGCCTTAGTGCCTGAGTCCGAGCGCAACTACTTTGCCGTCCGCATCACGGCTGGGCCTGGCGACGACGAGCCTCGGCTTGTTGTCGCACTTATTTTAGAACGCCAACCCCGCTGTCACCTCCTTTGCTGGCTGTTCAAAAGTGCGTAGCCCCAATGCGCCGAAAGTGCGATGCTGCAAGGAGGCAGTGCACAGACCGTAGCATGAGCGCGGCAAGGCGAAAAGTGCAGACCCTCTCATGCCAGACGTGGCAGCACCACGAAACGCAAACAGCCTTGGACGGCGGTGACAGCTAAAGTCGTGCCGCGACTTCAGGGCCTTGAGCGATCGGAAATGTGAGCGGCACTGTTGCGAACACGTCTTGAACCACAACATGCGCATGGAACGTGCGCACAGTACGCCAGACCCCTTGAGCTGACCGTAACCGCAGGGGCAAAGGCAGGGATCTATGTGTCAGTTTGGTCGTCAGCTCTGCTCCTCCAACTCCAAGTCTCCGGCCTTACATAAGTTGGCTGAACATGCGTCTGCACGAAATACTCGGCACCAAGTTTGAGCAACTTGTGCAAGTCGGCACGACAGCATATACAACATACTGGTAGTGCTCCTTGCACAAAGTTGCAGCCCGCACAAACTGCACAGGAGTTCTTTAGCATGTGGCGTTCTTCAGAGTTTACTGTAGTTAAGAAGTCTGAATATGTCTTCTGAGAAACTGAGCGATGACTTCAGAAGTACATGTTAAGCTTCCAGCAGTTTTGACTGGTCACCAACGTAGAAATTCAGCACGACAGCGAATCATTGGCAGAGATTCTACAAGATTAGACCTAGGAACAGTTTCAAGTAGCCAGGGAAGATAGAAGCTCTGGCCTAGTTGACGTGCTTTTTGCCCGACGGAAAATGCGAGAGTCCTGGTGGACCAATCAGGCACATGGGCACCGGCCCCAGGATTTAGCCTGGCTTCCGCTCGTTCGTGCCTCTCCTGCGTGAGAACTGCTGCCAAACAGGACTGTGACCAAGTCTTCCCACTGTTCCACTGTTGCGGCTTCAAGGGCCGTGGCCTCAAGCTTCTGCTTGGCTTGAGTGGGTGAGGACATCATAAGAATGAAGATGCACTCGATGGTAGCCATGATAGCGACGTGGCTCCAGATGCACCAACGAACTAGAAGTAGCTCGGGTCTGCTCTCTCTCTCTCTCTCTCTCTCTCTCTATGTGTACCAACACTGTGAATTCGCGAGTCACCAAATATCATGACCGTGGTGACGTGACCGCGGAGCGATGAGTCTCTCTTTGCAGGAGGATGAAACACTGTTGTCCGAACCCTGTCTTTCCTTTAACTCTCGAGAAGCCGTGTAGTCCGTCGTCTGGCAGCAAGACAGCTCACATCAGAAGCTCAGGAAACAAATCCAAGTCTGACACGTGCCTCCTGATCGACAAGGGGGGGTTTCACAAAGTGTGGGGCCGTTTTGAGTTGGGAAGCAGTGGGTTATCATGGTCATGCCCCCAAGCACCAGATTGTCGCTTGAGCTGGCGACATCTGGCGACGGTTATGCTCATTTTGTTGGGTGATGAGGATGAGGTCGTTGTTGATGATGTTGATGATGATGAAGATGATGAGGACGGCGAAGACGAAACGTTCAAACGCAGTTGGTGGTGATGAGCATCATCGCCGTCACGAGACTTATCACAGCGAGGAGTCTTGTCATGACAATGGCGGCTGTTTCGCCGGGTCGTTCAACCCCAGGTTCAACCTCGTGGCTTGGTAATCAAATCTCGGCGATCATGATATTGAAGAGTGCAGTTCGCGATGATGCTGCTGGTGGTGTCGGTCATCGTGAAATGCTGTAGAAGATGACGCAACTTCTTCTTTGGCCTCACTTGCTGTGGAGAGTGGAGGGGAGAGAGTGCAGGAGTGCATCCAGGGTAGCAGTCTGCGCTAACCGGCCAAGTGGGCAAAGTGCAGAGGCAAGGGCAACTACCATGGTGCTAAAGACTGCTCTATGGTGGCCAACTGAGCGCCGAGAATCGTGCTACTGCAACCTGGGCATGCATCCATGCCCGCCCGAACAAATTGCTCTGAAGTGCAAATCACGACTCAACGTTTTCTCTCCTGACATCCCTGTGCAAATGCTCTGCACATGTAGCTTTTTCGGGTTGAGACACTTGGATGGTGCAACTGACGATGACGATGATGATGTTGATTGTGGCAACACTGGCGAAGCTGACGATAAACATGATCGCCTTTTTTGTCTGCCACGAGCAGACCGCGCAGCAGCACGGCAACTTTCCGTCGCGCCATTGCAAAGTTGCGCCTTTGTGAATTCCTAGCTCTGCGATTAGACAGCAAACTCGTGTGCGCATCCAGCTTCAGTTTTCGTTGTCGCGGCTTCGAGTACTAGACAGCTGGCCATGCAGCTCTTGAGCCCTCTATGTCCCAAATAAAGCTAAGCATGCTCGGAACAGATCTGCAAAGGCTTGGCCATCGAATCGAATCCTTCCATTTTCGAGGCACGCCCGGGCGAAGAGAGCCAATAGTTCGGGTTATTCAGTCAGCCGTTTGTCTGCGAGAAATAGAATAAAGGACTGCTACTTCTCTTGCTCTTGCTCCTTGCATTCCTCCTGCTGCTGCTGCTGCTGCTGCTGCTGCTGCTGCTGCTAGTATTCTTGTTCCTACTGCTTCTTCTTCTATGCCTGCTGCGGCTTCTGCTGTTGTTGCCCCTGCTCCTGCTGCCCCTGCTCCTGCTGCTCCTGCAACTAACTGCTCCTTATTTTTGCACTATGACTACTACCGCCACCACCACCACCACGACGACTACTACAACACTACAAAAGCTACATGCTCTCCTGCTACTATGGTTACGACTATGACCATCATTACAACTCAATGCAGCGACTCTATGATCGCTGATACGAGTACTTACGGAATGGTATCGGTATTAGTGTCAGTTTTGTTGGTGAAAGTTCATGCTTCATAGGCCCTACAAAGAAAGCTTTCGGCCGTGAACGAAAGATCCAAGTCTGCACTGGTGCGGAGATTCTTGTCATTGCTCGTGCCATGGGTTGTTGGTAATCGCAATGTGAGCAGTTGTCTCCGTGAGCCAGTCTTAACATGAGACGCAAGATTTCGGGTTGGCTATCTGAGGCGGTCGCGTTTTTCCAGAGCTTACGACAGCACCGAACGAAAACGTTGGCTTGCTGCGGTTGCACGGCGTGCCCCGAGATTTTGATGTTTTGAAGATTGACGCCACCTCTCTGGAACTGCAGATGCTGCGCGAGATTCTGAACTCCGCTTACAGGCCCAAGTTGGTGATGATTGGGGCAGCGGCCTCAGTGTGTCGCTTAGACACAGTGGCAAGAACTCACGGAGGATCCATCGCACACCCCTTTTGTGCACACAGCGTGAGCCATCCTAAGGATGGACGATCACCTGCCAACTGCACATGACATGTTCAATCAGGGAGGAGATTGCATCACTCATGATGGCCCTTGTTGTTGGAAATCACCTATCGAATTCACGCCGGTCCAACCTCTGTTTCCGAAAACAAGGAAAAGCAACTGGTGGCGTCATTGTCGTTCTAGCGCACGGCTGCGCGAGCGCACGCGGGGTTCCCACCCTAAAATAAGGGGGAGCAAGCAAGCAAGCAAGAGAGAGAGGAAGAGAGGAAGCTTTTGCCACGGTCATAGTTGACCCCAAAGCCGGCCACTCATTAACACAACGGGTGGTCGGGCGGGCCAATGGCCTGAGAGTCCCCCCTAAGCCCGGCAGAAAGAAAGAAAGGAAGGAAGCAAGGTAGGAAGAGAGTTGGGAACGCACGACATGCTTTCATCGGATTGCTGCGATCATGAGGATTGTGCTTTCTTGCTAATGTTCGAGCGGTCATCCTTGGTTCAGCTCACGGAATGGAAGGGTTCGGTGCGGGATATTTGCAGATTTCCTGAGGTAAACCTGAACATGCCTCCGCCCTTTGAGTTCGAAGCGATTCCTGCATCACCTGCACAGCGGGAGTGCGTGGAATCTGAAGGAAGATTC